ACATAGTCATAAGTTTCATTGTATCTAATATTCGGTTATCAAAAATTCCATCGATGTTCCAATCTATAATAGTTCGACCAGTATATGTAGAGGTATGACTTGTAAGGTCTTCTTCTAATTGGATATCAACTGGGGTTGGTCTTTTATAATATGGTCGGGCATTTATTGGTTGCCAATTTTTATTATAGTTGACTCGATTTATAGTATCCGGGGTAATATGATGTTCAGAAAATGCTTTTTGTATATTTGATATTGTGTTGGCAATTGATGGTTCGATATTTTCATTTTCTTGGAGCATTATTTCTTCTTAAAGAGTCATATTATCATGTTCAGGGATTTTTGTTTTCCCTTTATCACTTTTTGGTATAATGATATTTTCTTTAGGTTTGGGATCTTTTATTTCTAATTTGGATAATTTGGAAATTAATTGATCCATTAGTGATTTATTATCATCACCTATATGAAATTTTTCTTTATTTAATTCAAGAGGAGGTTTAAAGAATAATTGTTTCTTTTCTTTATAGGTAAGAGGATGTAATAAGTTTTCTATTCTAATAGTTTGTTGTCCAATAGTGTGAAGATAAAGACTTGTATAATTGTTTTGTTCAATTATGTGTGGGAGTAATTCCATACGAGCTAAATTCGCGTTATTTAGTTTATATGGTGTAGCTATTGTTTCGTATACAATCATTTGGGTTGAGGATCCTATATTATGCTCTATGTTTGATCTTGTTGTGGTGGATCCAGTAACTGTTTCAGCCATTCCTTATATTTTCAAACTTTGTTCAGGAGGATGTATGGCTTTGATTGTGTTTCATTCAGTAGTATTGAATAATGTATACTGGGTTTCTAGTGTATTTATTTCAAAGTCGGGAATAGGAATTTGGTGTTTGAGTAGGATGTTTTTTAACCAATCAAAAAAACATGTTCCTTTATTTCCTTGTTTTCTCCATTTGTTGAATCTTTTATGAAACAAAATACTAATTTAGGATCAAAAGTTTCTACATACCATTCTCTGATATTTTTATTTTTGTGGGATAAATAATCATTTATGATAAATTCTTTATCCAATTGTTCTTCAAGTTGTAGTACTTGAATAAATTCTGCTTCCTCAAGTTCTTCTTGAGCTTGTTTATATTGAGGGATAATGACATTACCAGATGTTCGTAATAGTCCATCAATTTGTGGTTTTATTGGTGTTGATGGAATAGTTATGATGGGAGGAATTCTATTGTAAGTAGTAACTTATCACTAGTTCTTTTATCTTAAAGAAACTTAACAAATTAATCCATTAAAGAAAGTTGGTCCGAGCATTGAGGTTAGAGACGCTCAGACACCCAGTCAGTTGACCGTTTAGGTTAAGAGAGCCGCTGAGGTCTAGAAGACGTAAGAGGTAGTCAAAGAGGACTGTCCAGACAACACTCAACCGCAACCTAATAATGGAGAAATTTATTAAGAATCTGATGGATAAAACAACCAGTGCAACTAATAAGACTCTAAGAATAAAAAATAAAGAAGAAATTATTATTAACGATATTGAAAATCAAATACAAAATTGGAACATACCCAGAGTACCAATATCAGATGTATACAAGAAAGGCACATTCGATCTAAAAATCGGATATGCTATCAAAACAGTAGAACAGACTCTATCTGTTACAAGTAATCAAGAAGATTTTCAATTATTATCCCAAAAAATATTACAAGTCCAAAACAAAAAACTATAAATATTTACATGTAGGATTAATCCAAATAGCTGTGAAACCCTTAACTCGTCTAGGATTAAATAATTCTATCTTAGTATGCTTACGAGATACTAGGCATAACAGATTTTCTGATTCATTACTAGGGATGGTCGAATCTAGTTTATGTAGTGGATCAATATATTTCAATTGTTTTTCAAATTATTCTGTATCTCTTACAGATCCAAATATTTTAAATGTTTTATCTTTAAATCTAAAAACTCAAGGATTTAATATGATGTTAGGTTCTCAAAATATAGCTATCGTTTATCGTATTTATTATAAAGTTATGAATACATTATGTCCAAATGTACTTCAAATAGATACCAGGAGACAAACAATATTTTTCCAAACCAATATGGAAAAATCCAATACGATTATACCAAAAACAATATCATGGTCAGATATTATCTTACCACAAACATGGTCCATCCATAATGAAAATCAACCATCACAAACATCTATCCAAAATATTCCAGATAAAATTATTGAATATACAGATAGAAATATTGAAATCCAATTCACAAATAATAGAACTTTGCAACCAATGGATGATTCATCCATCTCAGGTACTTCAAGTACTTATTCTTTCTGAAAATTAGAACCAGAACCAGCAAGAAAATCTGTTACTACTTACAATAGAATTCCTCCCATCATAACTATTCCATCAACACCAATAAAACCACAAATTGATGGACTATTACGAACATCTGATAATGTCATTATATATATATATATATATATATATATATATATTATTAATTTAAAATTTAGAACCTACTTTAAAATCGCAAGAGGAATATTTTTCATGAATAAGATTGGATTTTTGTTAATGCCCTGAAAAACTAGGGCCTTGGCTTGAAAATGTGACCAAAGGGCCAGGCCAGCTTGGGCTTGAGCCACAACGGCACTGCCCCGACTAGTTTTGGCTACATCTTGTTTGGTCCTTTTTGCCCAGCCCCAGCCATTGCAAGCCCTAATTTCGGGTTCCTCAATGCTCATATCAAGTGTTTTAAAAATCTACTATCTCTGTTCAATCTCATGATGTTATTTTCTAGGTGAATGTACAAAGTATATATTATTTTTTATTTTTGATATTATTGGCTAGGTTGGAGATAGGGTTATGACTAAGTTGGTTGGGTATGGGTTTAGGTTAGATCCAGGCGCAGGTTAGGTCCAAGTCAATAAGATCTGCATCCTAGGGTTGGATTAACGCCAACTAGATCCGACACGACTTGATACAATCCAAGTTGGACCTAGACTCAGACTTAACTCGGGTCGAGTCTCAAGTAATCCCAGACCAAACCCGACCAGTTGTGTCCATTGTCTCGTGCAAAACAAGACCTAGTCAAGTCGACCTACAGGGTCCAAGGTCGACCCGACCAATTTCTCACCTCATAGAGGAGAAGTTAGAAGGGCTAAAATTTTGGAGTCCTCAAGACACTCATAACTAAATCTAGGATATGCTCCAACATGAGCATTTAAATCTTTGGCCTCTTTTTTCCTCCTTTAAATTTTTTGTCTTTATTTATGGAGCGTTTTTTAAATGAAGACAGTTTTTCTCCACTTTTTTAGTCTTAGATTTAATAAACTTTTAGGGGAGAATTTTTTCATATTGCGATAAATGGTCCACAGTCGATTGTTTCCAAATAAATGTTATTCCTATTGGTTTAAATTTTATTGCATTATTTACAATGGGATTGTATGCCGATCTCAATTAATTAGAAAAAAACCATGATAATGATGATTTACAATGGGATTGTATATAATGAGATTGTTTATTTTTGTCATAAAGAGGTCACAATTGCTTATAACCATCAGAAGTGAAGTCTCATAACTTGGGTGTATTAAAAAGTCTCGAGAATTTTTTTTTTTAACTTTGAGCTTGATCAATAGAATAAATGCAGCCACCCATTTTCATATCCAACGGTCAAGATTAATTGTGATTACTTTGTACCAATGATAAATAATCAATTATATGCTTTTCCATTTACAATTGCTCACAAATAAATGTATTATTTACTCGTTTACTTCTTGCATTACTTCACGCCTACGTTTCTAAAGCTACGTTGTGTGTTCCAATTATCGTGTATCTTTTTGCCAATTCAACCGCCAACTAAAATGTCATGCTTCGGCCAATTCAATTCCAATTAAATTATCATTTTTTGGGCTAATTCAATTGCCAATTAAATTGTATTTTTTTATTTTGTCCATTTCAATTACCAATTAAATCATCCTTTTTTTGGCCAATTAAATTGCCAATAAAATATAGTCTTTTAATTGGCCATTTTAATTACCATTATATTGCTCTTTCTTTTGACCCAATAAAACTGTATTTTCTTTTTGGCCGTTTCAAGCAGTTATTAAGTTGTGAATGTTTTGGCCAATTCTACAAGGGAAGCATAGCTTCCACCCTACGAGACGTGAATAATAAAGAAGCTATGAACATGCACGTGGATGCAACCACCTAGGAGGCAAGTGGCCCAGGTAGTGAATGTATGTATGTGTTTTGTGAATGTATGTGTTTTATGAATGTATGTGTTTAATGTGTGCATGTGCATGTGCACATATGTGTGTGCACAAGGTTTTGCATGAAATTCTTAAAAATCATCCTTTTTTTCTTAGATTTGTATTTGTGTGAGAGATGTCTTAAACGCTTAGAGGATATGGAGAGAGAGCTTCTTTTTCTTTTTCTTCTTATATGTAAAGAGGAAACATATGAATCCAAATGTATATCTTACTATGTGTATGTGCACGAGAGAGAGAGAGAGGCTGCGCATTGAACACCTAGAGTCCATCTTCTCATTCTTCTTCTCCTCATATGTAGAGAGAGCACATAGACTAGAGAGAGAAAGGCAATACCATGCCTTATTTTTATTTGGATGAATTTGAATTTATCTTTTATTTTTTACAGGATGGCACTAGGTCAGTGCCCAGATCGCCTAGGCACCCATCTTGGGCATACCCGCCCAAACCCCACTGCCTAGGCGGCAATACAACCGAATTTTCGTTCATTATCAATTCATCATCATCATCATCATCATTCAAGCTTTATCTCAACTATTTGAATTCAGCTATAAGAACTTACTAAAAGAAATGCAAAGAACTGATTAACATGCATGTGCCCCTCAATTCATGAATCACAACAGTTCTCATCATCCATTCAACACTCAAAAATGTTTTGTAAAAAAGCGAAATCCTTCATTTGAATGGATGATATTAGAAAGAGAGAGACAGATGGAGAGGTAAAACCTTGAATTTCAAGGAATTGGAAAAGGTCCTAAATGAATCACTGAAATGTAGAGCAGAGTGAAATATAGAGGGAAAGTAAGGGTACTTGTCCTCTAGTAGCCAAAATCCCATAAACAAGCCCAAATTTCTAACATTGATTGTTCTCTCTTCATCTGAAATTCCCCAGATCCTCTCCCCATGTATCGAAGTCCAACTCTTAAAATCATGGTAAAACCCTATTAATAAATGAGCATATAATCTTATAATACAAATTTCCACAGAGGTATTACATCACCAATAAAGATTAGTTTCTCATTCTGGGGAAAGTAAAAGAGACTCAAGCTTTAGATGACTGCCGATTAGATTAAAAAATATCTTCGGGTACTGAAACCCTAAAAACTGTATAATGGTGATTCATACTCTTCTCTCCATGCAACCTGTGAATGCTCCCAAGCGCACCAGCATCTGGGTTTGGAAAGGCATAAAATACACGTCGTATTCTCTGATGCACGAGCGCCATAGCACACCTAGCATAACACCAAATAGAATTTCATAAAAGAATACAGTGTACAAAAAACCAAAATAAATACAACCAATGGATATGGACTATAGAAGGCCATATTCCATTGGAGTCATCATTATCATATGAAATGAAGGCCATATTCCACTGGAGTCATCATAGTTGGATGAAATAATGGACGGAGGCCTTAGTCCATTGGAGTCATTATCGTCCAATGAAATAATGGGCAGTGACCAAAGTCCATTAGTATCATCCTCATTTATTCAAATGATGGACAGTGGTGGAGATTGGCACGAATCGTTTCCTGTTCTAGAGGGTCCCACTCTCTCCATCAACAGCAGTAATTTCACTGGACAATCGTGATACCCTTTAAAATATGGTTTCCCAATGGGATACGTAAAACGTATACTTTTCCCATAAAAACGTACGTATAACAGGGTGAAATCTGTCTGTTTCCAAATTTTTAAATCAAGCATTGTTATAACATATGAATCTTGAAAAAGTAAAGAATTGTTTTTTATAGCAATGCATAAATATTTAAAACAGTTGCCTTTTAGCAAGTGATACTAATTCTTTCATACGAACTCACATCGTGCATGGCTCCCACGTAAGATAGACGTCCAAGCCCGTACAGAGGTAAGGTCTAGATGTATCTTCTGACACCGATGGTAAACATTTCACATGAGAAACTATACACGTCTCTGAGTCTACATCACCCTGATCCTGAAATTATATTACAGAATATAGAGTTGAAAACATTGAACAATGGTATCAAAGAAATGTAGAAAGATTTATGCATGCATGTCTCAGAATCTAATTTAACCAACAGTGATCTTTTCTAAAACATGAAAAAGTAATTCAACCAACTCTAGAGAGAGAGAGAGAGAGAGAGAGAGAGAGAGAGATTATCTAGACCAAAAGTTAAATAGAAGTAACACACACCTTCTCTGTAGTATGCCTGTGCATGTGTGTGTGTGC